GATACTTCAGAAGCCTGGTGTCAATCATGTGACCCTTTTAAAACAACTCAAGGATGGACTAGTGGAAATAATGATATTGATGATTGCATTAGAGAGTTTCAACTTAAAAGTACAACATATGAAGATGTGATTGAGTGGATTCCATTTAATAGGTTATCAAACTTGCACAAGATTGGATCAAGTTTTCAAGCATTGTGGTTAGATGGTATACGAAAAGTTGTAAATCATACACAGTCACGTACATCACCTTATTCAGTCGAAATTGAGAAATTTAATTATTCACAAATCGAAACATTAGAATTTATAAAAGAAGTAAGTTAAATATTTATTTTGTGGTTTTATTTAATAGAACGGCACTTATTTTTATATATTTTTTTTACAAGTTTAAAAATTACATGCAATTAAGAGATAAACGTAAAATATACGGGATAACACAGAGTACGACAACAAAAAAATTCATGATTGTACTTGACAATTTTTATTACAAAAGGGATATTAAATATGGAAAATGTACACAGTGCGAGAGACATAATACTTCAGAAGCCTGGTGTCAATCATGCGACCCTTTTAAAGCCACTCAAGGATGGACTAGTGGAAATAAAGATATCGATAATTGCATTAAAGAGCTTCAACTTAGAAGCAAAAAATATTCAAATGTAATTGAATGGATTCCATTTAATAGGCTGTCTGATTTGAAAAGAATTGGATTGAATTTTCAAGCATTGTGGTTAGATGGAATTCGAAAGGTCGAAAATAATACACAATCACGTACATTATCTTATCCAGTTGAAATTAAGAAATTTAATAATTCACAAATAGACATATTAAAATTTATAAAAGAAGTAAGTTAATTATTTTATTTCGTAATTTATATAGTAATACGACACTAATGTTTATATTTTTTCACAAGATTAAAAATTATATCCAGTTGAAAGATAATAAACGTAAACTTTACGGAGTAACACAGGATACAACTAATCAATACATGCTTGTTTTCAATGATTTTTATTACAAAAGGGATGTTAAATATGGAAAATGTACACAGTGCGAGAGACATAATACTTCAGAAGCCTGGTGTCAATCATGTGACCCTTTTAAAGCCACTCAAGGATGGACTAGCGGGAATATAGATGTTGATAACTGCATTAAAGAATCCCAACTTAAAAATACCAAATATGAAACCGTTATTGAGTGGATTCCGTTTAATAGGTTATCTAACTTAAGGAATCCGTTGAGTAGATGGACAAACAATGTAGAACCAGAGGTCGAGGCACTATGGTTAGATGGAATACGAATGGTTAAAAATAATATAAAGTCACGTTCTGTATTATATGCAGTTTATCTTAAGGAATTTAATTCAAAAATGGACGTATTGGAATTTATGAAGGTAGATAAAGATTTTATTTTAAGGTTTTATCTAGTAGAACGGTACTTATTTTATATTTTATTTCAAGTATTACATGCGATCGGAATTTAATGAACGTAAACTATGTGGAATAACACAGGATACAACAACCAATCAATATATGGTTGTATTTGATGACTTTTATTACAAAAGGGATATTAAATATGGAGAATGTACACAATGCAAGAGGTATAATACGTCAGAAGCCTGGTGTCAATCATGTGACCCTTATAAAGCAACTCAAGGATGGACTAGTGGAAACAAGGATATCGATAACTGCATTAGAGAGTTTCAACTTAAAAGTACAACATATGAAGATGTGATTGAGTGGATTCCATTTAATAGGTTATCAAACTTGCACAAGATTGGATCAAGTTTTCAAGCATTGTGGTTAGATGGTATACGAAAAGTTGGAGATAATACACAGTCACGTACATTATCTTATTCAGTCGAAATTAAGAAATTTAATTATTCACAAATTGACACATTAGAATTTATAAAAGAAGTATGTTAAATATTTATTTTGTGGTTTTATTTAGTAATACGACACTAATTATTGTATTTTTCATATAAAGTTAAAAAATTATGCACAATTGAGGGATATTGAACGTAAAATATTTGGAATAACACAGGATACAACGACTGATCAATACATAATTGTATTTGATGACTTTTATCATCGAAGGAACTTCGTATATGGAAAATGTGCACAGTGCAAGAGATATAATACTACAAAAGCCTGGTGTCAATCATGTGACCCTTTTAAAACAACTCAAGGATGGACTAGTGGAAATAATGATATTGATGAACTCATTAAAGAAGCACAACTTAAAAGTACCGAATATGAAAATGTAATTGAATGGATCCCCTTTAATAGGTTAACTAATTTGAAAAAAATAGGATTAAATTTTCAAGCAGTGTGGTTAGATGGGATACGAAATGTCAGAAATAATACGCAGTCACGTTTATTATCACATACAGTTGAACTTAAAAAATTTAATGATTCACAAATTAACACATTAGAATTCATAAAAAATGTAAGTTAATGACTTTATTTTGTGGTTTTATTTATTAGTATGACACTAATTTTATATTTGATTTAATAAGTATAAAAATTATGTGCAATTTAAGAATAATGAATGTAAACTATACGGAATAACACAGGATGCAGCGACTAATCATTATATGATTGTATTCGATGATTTTTATCATCGAAGAGGTATTTCAGACGGAGAATGTCCAAATTGCGAGAGAAGTAATACTTCAAAAGCCTGGTGTCAGTCATGTGACCCTTTTAAAACCACTCAAGGATGGACTAGTGGAAATAGGGATATCGATAAGTGCATTAAAGAGTTTCAACTTAAAAGTACAAGATATGAAAATGTAATTGAATGGATTCCGGCCAATATGTTACTTAACTTGCAAAAAATAGGAGAATCAAAATTTATAGCACTATTCATAGATGGGATACGAAAAGTCAAAAATAATTCACAGTCACGTACCTTATCATGTGCTATTAAACTTGAGAAATTTGATGATTCACATATTGATACGTCAAATTTTATAAAAAAAGTAAGTTATAGATATTATTTGTGGTTTTATTTAATAATACGATATTTATTTTTGTTTTTTTTTCACAAGTTTAAAAAGTATATGCAATTGATAAATAATGAAAGCAAACTATACGGAATAATGCAGGATACAACAACTGGCCAATACATGATTGCATTTGATGATTTTTATTACAAAAGAGATATTATATATGGAAAGTGTATACACTGTGAAAGATATAATACTTCAGAAGCCTGGTGCCAGTCGTGTGATCTTTTTGAAACTATTCAAGGATGGACCAGTGGGAATAATGATATCGATGAGTGTATTAAAGAGTTTCAACTTAAAACTACTAAATATGAAGACGTCATTGAGTGGATTCCTTTTTATAAGTTATCAAACTTGCAAAATATAAGAGAATTCGAGTTTAGGGCACAGTGGTTAGACGGAATACGAAAGGTCGAGTCACGTAAACTATCACGTTCACAAGTTAATACATTAGAATTTGTACAGTCACGCACGTTATCACATGAGGTTGAACTTAAAAAATTGAATAATTCCCAAATTGACGCATTAGAATTTATTAAAAAAGTAAGTTATAGGTTTTTTTATAATTTTATTAGCAGCACGACACTAATTTCCTATTTCTTTTAAAAGTTTAAAAATTTTATGCAATCGAAGGATAGTAAACTTAGATTATACGGAATAACAAAAGATACAACAACTAATCAATATATGATTGTATTTGATGGTTTCCATCATGGTAGAGATATTATATATGGAATCTGCGCACATTGCAATAGATATAATACTTCAGAAGCCTGGTGTCAATCGTGTGACCCTTTCAAAGTAACTCAATGATGGACTAGTGGAAGTAAAGATATTGATGATTGCATCAAAGGGTTTCAACTTAAAAGTACAAGATATGAAGATGTAATTGAATGGATTCCATTTAATAGGTTATCTAACTTGCAAAAAATCGACGAATTCAAATTTCATGCATTATGCCTTGATGGAATACGAAAAGTCAAAAACAACACACGATTACGTACGCTACCATGTTTAGTAGAACTTCAAAAATTTGATGGTTTACAAACTGATGCATTAGAATTTATAAAAAATGTAAGTTAAATATTCACTTACTGCTTATTTAGAAATACGGCAACTAATTTTTCTATTCTATTTTATAAGTTTAAAAGCTTTGTTCAATTTGAGATTAATGGGCATAAAATATTCGGATAACTCAAAATGCGTCATCGAAACAATATATGGCAGTAATTGATTATTGCATTTCTAGGAGAGATGAGAAATACGGGGTATGCAGATGGGATGAGCATTATAACACTTCGAGAGGCTGGTGTCAATCGTGTGATCCTTTTGAGATGACTCAAACATGGACAAGCGAAAGTATTGATGTAGATGATTGTATCAAAGAGTTTCAATTTATGGCCACCGAATATGATAAAGTAATAGAATGGATCCCTTTTGATAGATTAAATAATATACAACAGATCGGGAAAGGGGGATTCGGTGAAGTTTTTTCCGCAAACTGGATAGACGGAAAAAGAAAGGTTCTAAATGACGGCAAAGGATTCATACAGTCTCGAACAAAATCTTACTTAGTCGCACTCAAGACTTTATCTAGTTCTTCGAATTCAATGGATTTCTTAAAAGAAGTTAGTCATGTATTTTTTTCAGACTATTTTATGTTTAACTGATAGCACGCTAACACAAGTTTATTTGTAAAGTTTAAAAATCACATGCGGTGTAGATTAATGGGGAGTAGCCTTGAAGTATATGGATTAACCAAAAACACAATTACAAACCAATATATGATAGTTTTTCAATATGCCAACAATGGTAATCTTCGTCACTATTTAGAAACGAATTTTAAAGAACTTACTTGGAAAGACAAATTATTACGACTGATGGATATATCAAAAGATTTGTCTCTAATCCATGAAGCAAAATATATTCATTGCGATTTACATAGTGGAAACATTGTATTACATAAAGAGGGATCGTGGATTGAAAGATTAAAGACTTATATTATAGATCTAGGATTGTCCAGGAAAAACGAAGGTACTGGAGATAAAAAAGGAAATTATGGAGTTTTACCTTATATTGCGCCTGAAATTTTGTTAGGCAAAAATTATACTCAAGCATCTGATGTATATAGTTTCGGTGTTATTATGGCGGAAATAACTACTGGAATACCACCATTTGATGGTTACTCATTTGATGAGAATTTAGCATTAAAAATCTGTAACGGATTAAGACCAAAATTTGCTTTAGGGACTCCCGAATTTTATGTCGAATTTTCGGAACTGTGTATGAATTTTGATCCACAAAAACGGCCTACTGCTGAAGAAATTTTTCATAAGTTAGAAGAATGGTATAATTTGATTAATGAGTTTGATGAAACTGAAAATTACGACGATACTCAAGAGCTTGACAGATTTGAATTTGATGAAATCGATGAAATCGATGAATCAAAGGTAGAAATGTTTAATAAATTCTTAGAATCTGATGAAATAGTTAAACAGTTACCAATGGCCATGAAAATACACCAAGATTCTGAGTATACAAGAAAATTTATTAATACGGATATTATTTCCGAACGGTATTGGGAAGGTATATATTTATTTAAAATTTGAACCATTTCTTGTATGATAATTGTGTAGTATTTAACAATTATTTTCTTTTGTATAGATTCAAAGATGAATTGATTAAATAAAATTCCCAAGGTCATTATAATTTATATGTACGAAATTAGTATTATTATAAAATTTATCTTGTTTTCATTATTTGATTATTTATCTTATTTTCATTATATTGATTGTCCTGTATATTTATATTATTTTACTAGAAATTTTACTAAATAAACATACCTATTATAAAATTAAATCCTTAAATAAACTTTAACTTTTACAATAGTAACTTGAATAGAATTTGAGTAGTTTTTTGCCTTTTACAAAATAATTATGGTAATAGCTTAAGTAGCTGCTTACAGTTAGAATTTTTTTTTGTGTGTATAAGGAATGTTATATGTTGTAATAATTGTTGCAAGTCTGTCACTAATTATTAGTAGAGTTTTACACAACTATTAATTAAGATAAGTATAATAAAAGATGTAAAAAAAGAATCTGTGCCCGGTTTGAATCATGAGTCGATGATCACATGATTTAATATTAATGAACATTCATCTGTCGTGTAACTGTAATCCAATTTAATAAAACTTTTTTTTAAAGTTATTTCGGCGATTGCATTATTTCGAACATAATGTAATATTACATACAAGTCGCAGTTCTAATATGCCGGAATAATGGATTTATCTTCTTTCTTGGATCTTTATAAGTTCATGGCTTGAAGTTTCTTTATGTTATGAGGCAGCAGTAACTTGAATATGTATTCTCTTTCTATTATGCTGACTATTACCATTGATCCGACCTGGTTCCTATCACAAGGTTACTGTTGAACATATCTTGTATGCACATTTTAATAATGATTTAAGCATATTTACATGTATAAAAAAATTAATTTATAAATCTTTATTTTTATGTATAGGCTTCTCCATATGTTACAAGTGAATGAACGAATGTAAGCATTTATAGAAGTATCTTTAGATAATAATAAAATTTATTTTGATGTCTCTACACATGTACATTTTAATTCTTAGATATTTATCCTATTAAATACATTCATTAAACTATTCATAGAAATTCGATATGACTGTGCATATTATAAAATAATGATGATAGGAACAATTTCATCTGTAATGACGATTAGAAAGGATAAAGGAGTAGTCTAGACTGAGCGAACTGATTTCATTTGTAATAATATAATGATGATAGGGAAGGATAAGGGAGTACTCTAGTCTGAGCAAACCAATTTTGTCTGTAATAATGCTATAATATAAATATATAAAAAAAATTTTTTTTTTTAAAATTACTTTAATAAAATTTATAAATTATTTACGACATAATTTAAAGTTAACGAACATTACCTATAATAACCTTTGCTCGCCGTTTTTAACTATCAAAGAAAGAAGTTAAAGAATATATGCATGGATTATTTGAAAGATACATAATGCCAGCACATTTATTTCCATCTCGTCAGAAATGCAAAAAGAATATAAAATTATAGTGGAAAACTCTTAGAATCCTGACTTCTAGTCTAAATGACCCACTCTGTAGATTGTCGACTGTAAAATCTGAACAGAAAGTTTTGAATGCTAGTGGAACACCTAGAGTAATTAAACCCAAGAGAATGGATAATTCTATGATTAATAGTATTAGAGATGTTTTTAAGAACCGAATCATTAGAAAGAAAGAAAAAAGCTCCATAAGTAATAACTTAAAATATAAATAATAGCATAAGTAAAGTCGAAGATTTTACCTCAAATTATTGTATCGCAGAAATCAAATAAAGAAATTAATACTATAAAGCATAGTAATAAGCTATCGTTAAGTAAAATCGCAGTAATGATAATCAAATCAGTATGTTTAGGCTTCATATATTAAATGCCTACATTTTCCAATTGTTAAATTATGCCCCAAACAAACTTGTTATTACGTACTCTATATAAAGGAAGTAAGTAAATAAATTTGTAATTTATCTATAATGGGACTTGGCAAATAATAAAGAAAAAATTATTTTGAAACCTTATGTTATTGTGGCCTCAAATTAATTGTATTTTTCATGCGCCTAATTTGTTGTTTTATAAACTCTGAATTCAAAACCCATGCTAAACTATAAGCCTTCCTTTTGCCTATAAACCATCAAAGATAAATGCATACAAGGAAGCATTTTCTAAGCCGAACCTGTGACCAAATTCTGTGAAGCTTTTCTTATCAGATTGCGAAGACAATGGAATCAATATTAAATCATATCTCTTATTCCGAAACTCTAAATGTAAAAACTATTCACTCTTGATCCTATTATCAAAAATATGTTATCTTTAAATTACAGATATTTTATAGATTTGATTAAAAAGTTTTTGCCACATGAATTCCTAAGTGCTTACAAAAATTTAATTGAAATAAAATTTCATATAAAAATTATTACGGTTTAAGAAACCAAAGCATGGCTTCATCAATTTACAAATTTACATAAGATAACAATACGAGAAATCCAAGAACGTACAATTAAAGGCATTCGTTATATTCTCCCAAAATGGTATCACTGTATTTATAGTCACATTGTAAAGTTAAAACAAGAGGATCATGTTAATTACAGAGGTAATTTGAGAAACGAAAAAAGCAGAACTCACATAAGAAGTACATGAACACAAGATACTAATTGTCCAGCAACACTGAGTATCCAGCTACTCAAGAAAGCTAATTCCTATCCATGCATTGTTTCTCTGCTTTTTCATCACAACCATCCCCTTAAATCAAGTCACATTAAAGTTTTCATTCAGTATCTGATAAATGAAGAATAAACTTTTCAAGCTTTTTAATATCGGGCATAGCACTAGTAGTGCATACCACACTTACTGGTGTTATCAATGCCGGCAAGTCTGTCACCACTCTGGAACTAGGCTTGCTGTTGACTATCGTTTGGGGTCGTCTTGCTTATGATACCAAAGGTACTTGTTGGCACGACAATTCTTTAACTTTCCTTCTTCTCTCTTGTTTCTATGACTCAATCCTTCATCAATAGGCTCGATATTGGTTATCACCGGATTCTTTAGATGACAAGTATTTCATTAAGGTAAGTTTATTATTATCGCGTTGCAAAATACAGGTTTATTAAAAGGCAATTCTCTCTCTATCAATTTTACGTCGCGTCATGCAAATCTCCAACAGACTTTTTAAACTTTTTTCCTCACATTGATGCATGAACCAATACATCGTGCCACATCATGTGACCAGAGCCGATCCTGTTCCTATACCCGATCCTACTGCTAACACTGGAAATAACAGCAGTTAAAATACGAAAATAACGAAGAAATATTAGCTGATAAAGCAATATTTTTATATAAAAAAGATGTTAAATACCTTTATATAAAATATTGCAATAAATGTATTGATGTCCAAAATGGAAGAGACATGTTTAAGCAGTTGGAAAAGGAGATTATAAAATTTAATGCTAATATAAAGGAGAATATATGGGTGCAAACATATATTACTTCTAGAGAAAAAGATTCCAAAAACCTGTTTATTCTCATTATTGTAACAAATCTCATAAAACACTGTCATATGTTACAAGAGACAGATGAATTGGTCTATATGGATACAATGGCTGAACTCGATATTCTAAATACTCTTTTAACAATTTTTTCTACTAGCACACTTGTTAGTAGTCTGCCTCTTGCTGTTATTCTCACATTTGATGAAACGGCAGATACTTTTACGGAAGCATTAGATGCATTAAAGCATATAATTCTATTAACTGCATTTGGTGAGTACAAATCTATAGTTGGACTATAAGTGATTATAACTGATGACTGTAATATGGAAAGAACAGCACTTCACAATATCTGGAAAATGCAATCTTGCTCCTATGTGTCTTCTATTTCTTGCAAGCAATATGAAAGTAACTTTGGGATAATAAACATAGAATTCATAGTAGTGATTGTAAAATATTAATAGAATTTGTGAAGAAAATGGGTTTTTTCAAAATTTGAAGTTGTACTTGATGAAACATATAGAAATATAACTACGAATCAAGTTTATACAATTTATCCAAAGTTTAAAAACCATTTTAAAATTTCTTGAAGCTATTGTAGAGAATAGTCTATCTTATTTTGTCAGCAGTTACTAATTTATAATAATAATACTAAAAACTTTGCAGAAGTCAGAATTTTAATTTTAAGATATTATTTTTAAATAAGTGCAAGTATATAATATAATACAGATTTCCAGTTTATTGTTAACTCAATGGATCTTTATTACATTTGTAAATTACTAGCAATAGCTCACAATAAACTAGACAGCTTTATTATATTTCATTTCTGAATGGTCCATTGGAGAAAAAGATAATATAAAAATTGAAGACTTAAATTCAATAATATTTAAATATAGAAGTATTAAAAATCAAAAAATATGGTATCTCATAGATATGCAACTTGGAACATACAAATATAGTTCAATGAGAATGCCATATATTGTAAGTATCAAGCTTCTATAGCAAAACATTTCAAGATCTGTAGATTAAATCAAATATCTACAATGTCTATAGAAAAGTGATATTATTATGCTTTTCTAGCATTGGGTAAAGAGCATAAATCACTTGGTTTTTATGCAGACTTTTATCAGAAACAGATTGAAAAAAAGCATACAGATATAACAGTGAATAAGAAAATAGAAAAAATCAATATCTTAATTGATACAATTAATAAAGATTATAACAATAATTCTGGCAAAAAAAAAAAAAAAAAAAAAACTTTTCCACAACTCTTGAATTCGTAAAAAATTTCCTTTTTTGGTAATGACATGAACGGTAAACAGTAAACAGCGAGTGAGAACCTCTTCCTGGGAGAGGAGTCCATCTTAGCTTTCTGCAAGGTGCAAGGGGTCGATTAACTCTCCATAGAGAGGTGGATGTTAAGGGAAGGGCAGAAACCTCTTCGACTAAACCCTTTGCTTTACTGAGTGAAACCTATGTAAGCAACCTCCAAACAAAGGAAAACCTTTTTACTTATTCAAACACTTTACCACTTTATATACTTCAAAACCACACACACATCAAACACAATCTTTACACAAGAGGCAGCATTTTATTT